GTAATTAAGGAAATCATATGCAAACACTTGGAAGGTAATAAAGTGATAGGGAATAGCCAGCATGGGTTTGTGAAGAACAAGTCATGCCAAACTAATCTGATAGCTTTCTTTGATAAGATAACGAGCCTTGTGGATAAGGGAGAAGCGGTGGATGTCATATACCTAGACTTTAGTAAGGCATTTGATACGGTCTCGCATGATATTCTTATTGATAAACTAGGCAAATATAACTTAGATAGGGCCACGATAAGGTGGGTGCATAATTGGCTGGATAACCGTAGTCAGAGAGTTGTTGTTAACGGTTCTAAATCCTGCTGGAAAGGGATAACAAGTGGAGTTCCTCAAGGGTCTGTTTTGGGACCCATACTGTTCAACATCTTCATCAATGATGTAGATATTGGGATAGAGAGTACGCTTATTAAGTTTGCAGATGATACCAAACTGGGTGGGGTTGCAACTTCTTTGGAGGATAGGGACATAATTCAAAATGACCTTAGCAAGTTAGAGAAATGGTCAGAGGTAAACAGGATGAGGTTTAATAAAGAGAAATGCAAAGTGCTCCACTTAGGAAGGAACAATCAGTTCCATACATACAAGATGGGAAGCGACTGTCTAGGAAGGAGCATGGCAGAAAGGGATCTAGGGGTCATAGTGGACCACAAGTTGAATATGAGTCAACAGTGTGATGCTGTTGCAAAAAAAGCAAATATGATTCTAGGTTGTATCAACAGGTGTGTTGTAAGCAAAACTCGTGAAGTCATTCTGCCGCTCTACTCTGCACTAGTTAGGCCTCAGCTGGAGTACTGTGTCCAGTTCTGGGCGCCACATTTCAAGAAAGATGTGGAGAAATTGGAAAGGGTACAGAGAAGAGCAACAAGAATGATTAAAGGTTTAGAGAACATGACCTATGAAGCCAGGCTTCATGAACTGGGCTTGTTTAGTTTGGAAAAAAGAAGATTAAGGGGGGACATGATAGCGGTTTTCAAATATCTAAAAGGGTGTCACAAGGAGGAAGGAGAAAATTTGTTCCTCTTGGTTTCTGAGGACAGGACAAGGAGTAATGGGCTTAAAGTGCAGCAGGGGAGGTTTAGATTGGACATTAGGAAAAAATTCCTAACTGTCAGGGTGGTCAAATATTGGAATAAATTGCCAAGGGAGGTGGTGGAATCTCCCTCTCTGGAGATATTTAAGAACAGGTTAGATAGACATCTGTCAGGGATGGTGTAGACAGAGCTTGATCCTGCCTTGAGGGCGGGGGGCTGGACTCGATGACCTCTTGAGGTCCCTTCCAGTCCTATTATTCTATGATTCTATGAAAAGCATGAGTGGCGTGGTGTTATTTGGTTGCTAGGTGTTATAGAGCAACTGAAAAAAAAGGAGCTTCAGGGGGTATCCGAGTTTGTCTGTTAGGCTGTGTCTAGACTACATGCCTCTGTCGTCAGAGGCATGTAGATTAGACACATAGGCAAAGGCAAATGAAGCCGCGATTTCATAGAATCATAGAATCATAGAATAATAGGACTGGAAGGGACCTCAAGAGGTCATCGAGTCCAGCCCCCCACCCTCAAGGCAGGACCAAGCTCCGTCTACACCATCCCTGACAGATGTCTATCTAACCTGTTCTTAAATATCTCCAGAGAGGGAGATTCCACCACCTCCCTTGGCAATTTATTCCAATATTTGACCACCCTGACAGTTAGGAATGTTTTCCTAATGTCCAATCTAAACCTCCCCTGCTGCACTTTAAGCCCATTACTCCTTGTCCTGTCCTCAGAAACCAAGAGAAACAAATTTTCTCCTTCCTCCTTGTGACACCCTTTTAGATATTTGAAAACCGCTATCATGTCCCCCCTTAATCTTCTTTTTTCCAAACTAAACAAGCCCAGTTCATGAAGCCTGGCTTCATAGGTCATGTTCTCTAAACCTTTAATCATTCTTGTCGCTCTTCTCTGTACCCTTTCCAATTTCTCCACATCTTTCTTGAAATGTGGCGCCCAGAACTGGACACAGTACTCCAGCTGAGGCCTAACTAGCGCAGAGTAGAGCGGCAGAATGACTTCACGAGTTTTGCTTACAACACACCTGATGAAAACTCAAACTAAATATGAAAAGGGAAGGGGGGAGAGAAAGAAAAATGAAGAGGGTGGGAGACAGAGCATCATTGTGTATCTGGAGAATGGAAAAAAGGAAGATTCCAAACACAGAGAATTGCTTCCCGGGGATTCAGTTTAAAAGTGACCGTGTGCGAGAGGTTTCCCTGGGTTTAGCACAGAGGAGTTTACAACCAGAAAATAAAGAAAATAAGCTGATCATGTCTAACTAAACATTCCCTCTCCCAAGGGTCTCTCTGTTTCAGTGTTTAGATTTTATTAGGCATGGACATGGCTGGAAAATGCCTCATCTCTGGCTCAGTCCATCTCTCCCCAAGCCCTTGCTCTGAACTGATACAAAACTACTGAAGCAGACAGAGCTCCATTATCCATTCAAAACTCATTCTCTTTTCTCTTCCTGGTAGGCTCTCCTGGCTCCCTGCCAGCACTTCCTGGATCCCCACTGTTTCTGGGTTTAACCCATTGCAGGCAATTTAGTTAACTGAATGGCTGGGGTATCTAGAAAACGGCTGTAACCCCTCCCATTCATCACAGGTCTGATCCTTGCACCTGAGGGAGGCTGGTACCCAGGAATTTCCTCTACTCTAGTGAACAGTGGATGGACAGGGAGGTGTCATTCTTGTGCCCAACACCCAGAACAGCCCAGCTATGGCACAGGGGTAAAGAAGCTGCCCTGTCTCCCCAGGAGGGGTGGGAAGCTGGATGGGAGCACAGGTTTGGTCCAGCATGTAGGTGATCAGGAATGGTGTGAGGCCATCATGTAGCCACTGCTAGGTACAGGGACTGTTTAGCTTGGTAGAGAGACGACTGAGGGGGGATATGATGGAGGACTGTGCAGTCATGCTGGTGTGGAGATAGTGAATAAGGCTGAGTTATTCACCCCTTCCCATAACACAAGAGCCAAGGCACACCCCAGGAAGGTTTTCGACAAACATAAAGAAGTATTTCTTCACACAATGCTCCGTCAACCTGTGGAACTCTTTGCCAGAGGATGCTGCAGAAGCCAGGTCTATAACATGGTTTGAAAAAGAACTAGTTAAGTCCATGAAGCATAAGTCCATCAATGGCTATTTTCCATTATTGGCATGGACATTGTCACATGCTTTGTGTGATCCCACACCTCTGCCTGAAAAATTGTTCTGTTCATTGCCTGTGAAGCTTCTGGCACTGGGCACCCTCGGCCCTGGAAGACAGGAGATTGGGCTGGATGGATCAATGGCCTGCCTCAATCTGTCCGTTCTGTGGCTGGAATTGGAGAAAAGGAGCTACTCTGCCGGGAGCCCTTGTCAGGGGTTGGGAGCTGGGACACAGGTGTATTACCCCAGGGTCTGCCTCCCTCCCTCCCTCTCTCCCTCCCCCCCTCAGGGCTCTGGTGTTTCATCATGTTGAATGCATTCCACAACCTTGTGTTTCCTACAGTGACCGTGGGAAGGGCAGGGCTTGTTAAATTTGGACACTGTCACTTCCAATGGGCCTGAGGCCAGAGGCGGCTCTCGGTCAAGATGGCCACTGTCTCTCCAAAGTCCCTGAACATATCAGAGCCTGCTTCTGTTCATGATGACCGGATCCTCCCCTTGTCCTAATTACATGGTTGTTGGCTGTCCTCAGTCAAGCTAACCCCAATTTCCTGGGATAATTTCCAACAAGTTGTTCTTCCCTCAGGGTACGTCTAGACTACAGGCTTTTGTCAACAGATACTGTTGACAACACCTCTGTGGACAAAGAGCGTTTAGACGTAGAATGAGGTTTACCACCATCGACAAAACTGCTGCATTCTGTCAACTTACCGTGGACAAAATTCGGCGGTAGTGTAGATGCAGGTATTGTTTTGTCGACAAAAGTCCACTTTTGTCGACAAAACCCTGTAATCTAGATATACCCTCAGTGTCTCTTTCTTCAGTCACTGACTCCTGCGAAAGGTAACCCAGGCTCTCCTGATGTCCTCTCCCAGTGCCGTAGCTGGGAGTTCCTGCTTCCCTTTTCCTGGGACACTGTGCGCTGGCCCCTCAGCTCCGGCATTCACTGATTCGTGGTCTCCTCATTCCCCTGCAGTGACGTCCCACACTCTGAACCATCCATGATGCAGCCTGCAAGTTCCTACAGCAGCCTGCTCCTTCCCAGGGTCTCCTCAGCACAGCTCTTCCTACCTGCCTGGGCACTCTGCTGATTTGGATCCTTCCAGAGTTTCCCAGCATTCTTTGCTATAGTCTCTGACTCCATTGTGCCTTGGGGCCTGCTGATACCCAGAATGTCTTGCTTGTACCGGATGAAGGCCTCGGATCACAGGCCTCGGATCACAATCTGAATTTAAGGGTCAATATAACTGTTCTCTAGAAAGCCCTGAAAGGGGACTGGGACTTCAGAAGTGACCAAGTGCTGGGAAGGGACGTTTCTGCTCCATTTGGCATGAGGGCTAGGAGAGGGCATGACAGAGAGCTAGGGGTGGCAAATGGGCTAGAAAATGGGTCGCTGTATCTGTGACCAGACACCCAACCAAACCTTGAGATTGGGTCTGGTCAGACCAATGGGAACCCTTTCTGGCTTGAGGGAACGGGGCAGAAGGACGTGAGAAGGGGGAGATAGTGTGGAGTTGATGAGCCAAATGGGCATGAGAGAGCACATGCTGAGTAACAAGGGGCAGTGATCTGGGCATGAGGGGGCATAACAGGGCACACGTCTGTTCGGACTGCAGCAGAGGGGACAGGGAGGGTCTTAGCAGTATGTCACATGGCCCCTCACACGATGAGGCTCTGATCTCGCAAGGCTGGTGGGAAGGGCTGAGGTGGGTTTTTATAGGTAGGGGTGAATCATATGGATCCCTGGACTTACTGGTGCTGATGTTGCCTCCACGGACCTTTCTCTTCAGCCACTGACCCATCATGTGGGACTCTAGGCTGGCTTGAGGCCCAGGATGTAGAGCAATCTCTGGCGGATCCCCGGGGTTCTCACCCCATAGATGATGGGGTTCATCATGGGTGGGAAGAGCAGGTAAATGTTGGCGATGAGGATGTGGACATGAGGCTCCACGTGGCCAAAGCGGTGGGAGAGGAAGGAAAAGGTTGCAGGGGTGTAGAACACCAGCATGATGCAGATGTGGGAGCTGCAGGTGCTGAGGGACTTGCGCCGGGCCTCCTTGGAAGGCAGGCTGAAGACAGCCCGGAGGATCAGGATGTAGGACAGGACGATGAGGACTAAATCACGAGCAAGCTAGAAGCTCTCATGGCCGCTGTGTCCACACAGGCCAGTTTCACCAAGGCCATGAACTCACAATAGGTGTGAGAAATGACAT